CCCCTAGTTTATCAGAACGTAAGAGATGTAATGAGAGAAAAACTAGAAACCGCTTAACAACAAGAACAGAGCGTAGATCAAAACTGAAGTTATATTAACGAATAAAGAATAGATGACTGATGACATTCTGCCGATCATGGATTAAAGGAGATTAATGAATAACAGGGACGCGAAGAAATACCGAGAAATCAACCAAACAATTAAAAAAGAAATACGAAGAGCCAAGGAGACATGGGTGCAAGAAAAATGTAAACGAATCGAAGAGCTCTAAGTGAAACATAATCATATAAATATCCACCGAAAGATTCGAGAAGCCGCTGGTCAATACAAGAGGAGAAACACACACCTCCTCATAAACAAAGACGGGAACCTGGCGACCTGGCCAAATTTTGAGCACCACTGATTTGCAATTTATTATGACACGAATTTAGTGACGCTATATAGGGCAGATACTTAAAACTATTCCGTAATGAATGCACAATTAAATTTTTTTAAAGATTATACAAAATACTATAAATGAGACTAAAGATTTACCTGAGATTATTGAGAAGTACAAAAATAAGGTATCTGGTCGCCTCAATGTATTTTGTTGCTGCTCACTTTCATCTTTCTTTAAAATAAGTTTTTGTTCATGTTCATTTTCTGCATGCTCATAATAGTGCACATATTGTACTTTATCCATTTTCGTCTTAAATTTGTCCCTGTCTTCTTTCCTTACAGTCTATTGTGTCTCATTTTTCAAGTTATAGTGTAAAATAAGTTATACAACGGAATACTCCGTTCGTTACTAATTAACAATAGATATGGGATAACGGAAAATAGTGTGTTCTGTATTTACAATGCTAATTAGGGTTATCCACTAATTAATATGTAATATATTTAAACAACGCAAATACAAGTTAAAAACTATGTATTACAATTACAATCTATCGCTTTACGGAAGAAAAACGTCACAAATCAAAATCCTTGTTTTTTCAGAAAAGCTATTTTTTTAAGCTTTGAATTGTAATAAGTTGATATTTGTGAGCACATTTAGACTATCTTTTTAAATGCCGTAGTTCGCTATAATTAATTATTTTGGTAATAGTATAAAACTTCGTTAACTAATTGATGGATTCGACCGTTACTTGATGGAAATTCATTTTTATGTAACAATAAAACACTGAAAACTTTGTTTTCAAACTTCCACAAAATTTATTTTAAATATTATCACTACAGCTGTTTCGGCTGATTGCCTTTCTCAAGTGATCTATTTTGGCTTGGGTTTACAAATTTATAGTCTCTAATGAAATAGGTTGAGGAGGGGAGAACTGTTTGTCTCAAGTTGGTCATTCAGAATTATATCTGTGTTTTTTAATTTGTTGATTTCCATAGATTCTAACAAAGATAGTTTAAAGCCTTTATTTTGAATGTGAAGAATTTTAAATTTGTCATTAAAAGAATGATTATGATCTAGAAGGTGAAGTGCGTATGTCGAATCTGTTTTTCTATTCTTGAAAGCCCTTTTATGTTCTGCTATTCGTTTATCAAAGTTTCTACCAGTTTGACCGATGTAAGTTTTTGGGCAGTCGCCACATTGGAGTTTGTATACACCACTATTTAAGTGTTTTTTATTTTGGCTCTTGTTATTTTTAATATATTGCCTAGGTTGTTATTTGTTCGGAAAGCTGGTGTTATTCCTTTCTTTTTTATGTGTTTGGCAATTTTTTGTTGTTATTTTGCCTGTATATGTAATCGAGCAGAAGGGTACTGGGTTTTTTCTCTGGTGGTGGAAATACTAATTTCAGGGCTTTCTTGTGTAGTTTTTGATTTAATATTTTATTAATTGTTTGTTCGTTGTATCCGTTGTTTACTGCTATTTGTTAACTACTTTCACATTTAATTTATTTCAAATCCTTTATAAAAGGTATAATAAAAAAAATGCCCAAACGGGCTATCACAATTACATTACAAAACGTTTTCGGATTGTTAAATTCCATCATCAAGTGGTAAACGAGGTATACATGCTATGAGCCACCAAAATATGTGGGTCAAAACCCTTTAAATGTTATAAAATTTACAGTTGTTTTAACATTATATATGGTTTACAGATTAGAATGTTTAAGTTACCGTTGGAATTGGTAACATGGCGACGTATGACCCTACATAGTAAAATGGTCCTGAGACGAAGCATCTTCGAGACTAGCGTCTAGCCGTTGGCAGGTCAGTATAATCCTGACCAATCCAATCGCACTTGATTTTTTGTGTAGCGCGTCCATTCAAATTATGTACAGGTTTTGAATGTAACAGTTCTCAATTTCTCATATCACGAAACGTTCTCAGATTGTTCACACAAATAAGGAGTTATGTTTAATTGTTTTGAATACACAGAAACTCATAAAAATGTTGTAGACACTTCAACGGAAGATAGCAAAATCAAGAAAGATTCTAAGAAGTGTCCTTTGTATAATTTTTATTCAAGTTATGTTGCAGAATTACATTCTCATTTTCAAGAAAAACACAACCTAATCCTAAAAAGTGAAACACTTCAATTTTCCAATTTAGTCTCTTTTCAGGAGTGGAAATGTTTGATTGAAAGTAGTACAAAAACCAAATACGTTAAAGTCGAGAACTTTTCCGCAAAGACTCACAAAACAATGAAGTTTCTCTGTCATCGGTCAGGCTGCTTTAATTCTGAAAGCAAAGGAAAAAGGCACTTAAAAATGAAAGGCAGTATAAAAATTGGTGGATTTTGCCCAGCAGTCTCACGGTTGTGGTTGATTTGGCAGAAAAAGTTGAATCAATTTTATAAAAACACACATTGGACATCAAACTGATATTGGACAGTTATTTCCAAGTCTATCTGAACGTCAGTTTATTGCTGAATATTTGATTGTGGATAATTATTTTTATTATACAACAACATAACAAATAACAACAACTATGATCTATAATAATAATAAGTGACAAGCAGACAAGCCCTCCCTCACTTGTTGCCAACTCACAATAAGATAGTATTTATAATATGTAAAATAATAAAACTGTGTATTTAAAACAACTAAACATTACTTCTTGTTTGAGTGAACAATCCGAGAACGTTTCGCGATATGAGAAATGAGAACTGTTACATTCAAATATGTACATAATTTAAATGACGCGCCACACACATACTCAAGTGCGATTGGATTGGTCAGGATTGTCCTGACCTGCCAACGGCTAGATGCTAGTGTCTTCGAGGACCTGTTGATAACAACTGAACCATTTTAGCTATGTAGGGTCATACGTCGCCATGTTACCAATTCCAACGGTAACTTAAATATCCTAATTTGTAATTATATATAATATAAAACAACTGTAAATTTATAACATTTAAAGGGTTTTGACTCATATATTTTGGTGGCTCATAGCATGTATACCTCGTTTACACTGATGATGGATTTAACAATCCGAAAACGTTTTGTAATGTAATTGTGATAGCCCGTTTGGACATATTATTATATACCTTTTATAAAGGATTTGAAATAAATTTTTTGTGATATATGGTATACAGCCAGCTACAGAAACTTACTGTCCTAGTGGACTTTCACATTTCTTTCTAGAAAACTTTTAGCTCTCTTAAAAGTTCCTTATTAAAAAAACAAATTCATTTTATTAAAAAAAACTTCTTTCTATAATTTCCATTTTGTTACACTTTGTAAATAGATTTATTTTATTTTAATTATTTAATTTAAGTCAGATAGTAGATAGTAGATTCGCCACTGGTAGTTAACGTCACTTAAAATATGCATTTAAACGAGGTAAAAATTCTAAAAATTAGCTACTAAATATGTAAGGATGTAGCATTTCTGCTATCTAGCTCACTCATGTTATACACGATCGCCGTTCTTTATTTATATATCTTAGAGACAAAACGAAATTTGGTAAGTAATAGAACATTTTAGCAACTCCTGATAAAAGCTGTGAAAAAGATAACATATCTAAGTCATTAAACATTGGATATAAAAATCAAAGACACTATTCTAAACTTATAATATCTGTCAATATAAATGCTGATGATAGTTATGGTCATAGATAAATAATATAATAGTAGAAAGTCACAGAATAATGAACAATCAGAATGCCCACTCTCCATGTAAAATTAAGTACGGGCATCTCCTTCGCGCAGACGTTCCGCCATGTTTTAGAGGGAACCAGTGTTGTTTATGTGGTGTGCATAGAAAAATTAACCCGGTTTAATTGACTTACGGCAATCATAGACATACTGTACAATTATATTAACATTGTTAAATATAATAACATAAATATAATAGAATTAAACATAAATATATAAAACTTCAAAGGCGGCATCTGAGTGTAGACATTCTGATTGTTTATTATTCTGTGGCATGGTTATGGTAATAAAACAAAAATAATGATTTTGTAATTATGTATAATGCTAATTGCCTTTGGTGCTAATAAATACGTTGGCTATGATAAGCTGACATGAATTTTTCTAAATATATTTACTCCTATTTAACCGAATGAAACGTATGTTTCTTATCATAACTAGGTTGAAATTCAAAATGTCGTTCCCGACACTTTTGTGTCCCGTCGTAGCGACAGTAGCTTTTACAATAGGTATACTTCATCTAATTTACATGACGATGCACGTCACTATCTACGTCAGAGATCGAAGTTGACATAGTTGCCAAAGTATAAAAAATCCTGACTCCATTTTAAATCAAATAGGTCACATAATTATTGCAAAAGTATTACGATCTCTTTACAACGACTATATAAATTCTTACGTGACATTTTTGAAATAAAACACACTAATTTTGTTCTAAAAAAAACAGATTTTATTAAATAGGTAAAAATATAAAACAAGAGGTATTCACTTTAACATTCAAAATAATTAAGTACAAAAAGCGTCAACACCGCAACTGTCAAATAAGTTTTTTTTTAAATTACTGTAAATAATATTTTATTAAGGTTAATTCAAGTATTTTAATTGTTTTAGGATTAAAATAATGGTATATGTACCGGTGAGCCAAGAACAACAAAATAATCTAAAAGATCAGAAACGGGACACCTGGTTTCTTTATTTTACCATGATAACTGGTAAAACTATTGATTTATTTTAATAATTTTATAAGTAAAAAGATCTATAGGAAAAATCGGGTCAGACCAACGTAACGAAAGAGGCTAAGCTCCAGTTGGTTTTCTTGTTCTTAATAAATTATTCCAAATGAACAGCTTCTTCCACAAAAAACAATGAAGATGGACTTGGCAATCCCAGATATCTTTTTCTTTTTTGTATATAGCTTTAAGCCTGTTTTTTCTTCAATATTATCCTCCTAAATTGTTCAACTTGTCGAACCATCTTTTTTTTTATCTACCAATACTTCTTCGTCCATTTGGTGACTTATCTCGTGCTATTCGTACTATTCTATCCTCTGATATTCTACTTATGTGTTTGTTCCACTTATGTTTTCGTTTTGTCAACCATCTATTTATGTCTTCTATATTGCATGCTCTTCTTATGTTTTTGCTTCTCTCCCTATCCAACAGACTTTTTCCTGATATTCGTCGGAGTATTTTTATCTCTGTTGTTTCTAGTAGTAGGTATGTAGGTATGTATTATAGGTCTAATAGCTGCTTATTAATTTAATTGGTTTTCAATTAATTGAAATCTGATACCTTCAAAACCAGCAGAGGTGTACGACAAGGCTGCATACTATCTCCAGACCTGTGGAGAGAATACATAATGAGGAACGCACTCGATGGATGGAGAGGCGGCATCTCCATTGCAGGGAAAAAGATCTCAAACTTAAGATTCGCAGACGATACAACACTGATAGCAACATCTGAAGAGGAGATGTCGAGACTGATAAAGAGAGTAGAAACCGAAAGCAACAAGTGTGGGCTCAAGATTAATAATCAGAAAACAAAAATCATGATTGTGGACCACGCGAATATCCTCCAAACAACAGGCGCCCTAAATCAATTCGAGAAAGTAGACGAGTTCACGTATCTAGGATCTTCCTTAAGCAATGCAGCCTCCTGCCATACGGAAATTGGCAGAAGAATAGGAATGGCCAAGAACGCGATGAGTCGACTGTCAAAAATATGGAAGGACCGCTGTTTGTCCAAAAAACTCAAAATGAGACTGGTGCGGACACTCGTTTTTTCAATCTTTAGTGCCGAAACATGGACAATAAAATCAGAGGATAGGAAAAGGATTGACGCATTCGAAATGTGGTGCTGGAGACGAATGCTACGCGTCTGGTGGACGGAGCACAGATCCAATCAGTCGATTCTCGAAGAGCTAAACATTCAGACCAGACTCTCCTCTCAGTGTCTTGCAAATGTTTTAAAGTTTTTTGGCCACATTGCGAGAAGAGACAATGACAACTTAGAAAGACTAATTGTGTGCGGAAACGTAGAAGGACGTAGAGGCCGAGGACGCTCACCTATCAGATGGTCAGATCAAGTACAGAAAGCCACTGGAGAGACGTTTTCCGAGTCCATGAGAGCAGCCCAAAATCGCAAGAGATGGAGAGAATTGATAGCCCGCATTGTAGGGAATCACGATCCTCAGCAATGAGGAAACGACAAGAGAGAGAGAGAGAGAGAGAGAGAGAGCTGCTTTATAGATTCTTGTTTTTGTGTCTTGTCTTAAATATTTCGTGTTCCAGATTGTGTCATTAAGAGATCCCGCCGCTTTACTTGCTTTTAAGCTTTGTTGTCGTACTTCTTCTTCAACATCTTCGTAACTAGTTATATCTATTCCCAGATATCTAAACCTTGCTTATTGCTGAATTTCTTTCCATTAATTTTGATTTTACACCATAGTAGTTATTTAGATGTTGTCATACATTGGTTTTTTCTGCTGATATTATTATATTGTATTTCTTAGCTGTTGTATTAAAGATATGTGTTAATCGTTGGAGCTCGTCTTCTGTATCGGCGATTAATGCGGCGTCATCTGCATAACATAATATTTGGATTTCTTTGTTCCCCATTTTGTAGCCATGACCTTTACGTACGGCTTATATTATTTCGTCCATTATTATATTAAAGAGAAGTGGGCTCATCGAGTCTCCCTGTCTGACTCCGCTTTGTACTGATATACACTGTGTTAGTTTTCCATTTATCTTTGCTTGTATTCGATTATGTTTTCGATGGTTTGTATAATATTGATTGCTATGTTTCTTTTATAGTAGGTGTAAGACGTCTTTGACTTGGATGCGATCGAAAGCCTTTGTGAGGTCTATAAACATAGATATGCTGGTTTATTGTACTCGATGACCTTTTCTGTGATTTGTCTTATTACAAGTATGGCGTCTAAGTAGGATCTTCCGGATCTGAATCCTTGTTGTTCATCTGGTGGTAAGCTTAAATGCGGTGTTCAGTAGATTTATACCAATACAATTGTTGGGGTGTTTTTATCTCCTTTCTTGAACATTGGTATCATTATGCCGTTTCTCCATGCTTCTGGTATCTTGCAGTGCAATATTAGTTTTGTATAAGATTTGTTATCTCTAAGGTTATACTTTCTCCTTCGTATTTTAGAAGCTCGTTGGTAATTCTGTCTGGTCCTTGTGACTTTTTATTTTTGAGCGAATTTATGGCTATTTCTACTTCCTAAAAACTGATTTCGTATCTTAATTCATGTACGTTATTGTGTTGATTATTATTTTCCTTTGCTATAAACAGTTTCGTCAGTCATCTTTCCCATTCGTTTTCTGGTATGTTATTGTATTCCTTCAATTCTGCCATTTCTTTTCGTTGGTTTTTATAAATCTCCATATTTGTTTTTTTGTACCGTAGAAGTCACTTTCCATCCTTTTTGTAAACTGTTCCCAGTATTCATTTTTTCTTCTTCCTACCAACTGCTTTGTTTCATTTCGTATTCTTCTATAGTTGTCTTGGGATTCTGGGGTATTTGATGTTTTGTACTTCATGTAGGCCTCTCGTTTCTCTATACATTTCTCTTTTATTTCTTTTTTGAACCATCGTGTATTGTTGTTGTTTCTTTAGTTTAGTACGACTTTGTGTTTTCCTAGAGCTTCTGTTCCTGCTTCTTCAATTTGTTTTTAATTTTCTTCCAGCTCGCGTTTATATCTTCGATGTTGTCCATTTGTTTCAGCTGTATCTTCTGTGCTAGCCTTCTTGGTACATTTCTCTTGTAGAGTCGTTTCACAGTGATTCTACATTGAATTTTTCCTCGGTGTTTTTCTGTAAAAAATTTTGTTTTTTGGTGTTATTTTCATTCTTATCTTTGCTGGTACTAGTTTGTGTTCACTCCCTGCTTCTGCTGAGTTAAAATAAAAATAATAAATCTCTATAATTAATAATTCCATGAACTAGCAGAACCAGAAACGAAGAAGTTCATCGAAGAATGGGAACATCAACGAACTTTATTAAATATTATTAAGAGGAGTAAATTAGAATATCTTGGACATATAATCAGAGGACCAAGATATGAGTTCCTTCGGCTAATTCTCAACGGTAAAATCGAAGGAAAGAAATGGATAGGACGGAAGCTCTCTTGGTTGAGGAATTTGCGGCAGTGGACAGGTTTGACAGCGGACCAATTGCTACACGTAGCCCAAGACCGAGATCAGTATAATAATATTATAAGCATGGTAGTCGCCGACGTTCCGTAGGGATATGGCACTCTAAGAAGATAATTAATAATAACCAAAATTGTAGTAAAGAACTATACCATAAATAATATAGGAATCATTATCATCACACAGCCTCTGTTTTCGTCCATCGTCAGCCATATGCCTCGTCAAAGTTTTTCTATTTAATTCTATGTTGTACTGTTGCAATCTAAATCGTATAAATTCTCTTAATGCCAACGATCTAGACGATAAGAGGTCTATCTAAACCAAATTTAACTTAAAGATGCAGTAGCAGTAAACAAACCAAGACACATTATCAACATTATAATAGACATCGTATACGAAACTCAAGTATTAACAGCATACCATATCATTTAGTAGTCCTTGTACGCGAAAGAATAGCTATAACTTAGTTGGACCACTGTTGTTCTAGTGATAATATTTTAGCCAGGGCGTGCATCAGGGAATAATAGTGCTTGAATTTATTCATTTATAGTTATAATAAATGTTTTCATTTATATTTTATGATCAGAAGAATAACAAAGATAAAATCAAATTAATAAATGTTACAATAAGGTTTTCCAACAACATAATAATGTGAATTCGTTATTGTAATGCATTGAATTAATAAAATTAAATTAAATATGTAAAAATTGTTTTAAAACTAAATGTAATATCTAATGGCGGTTTCCCACCAAACGGACAAAATAAAAACAAAACACAAACTCGTGTCCAATAAAACAAAATAGCAACTTTTCACAAACTTTTTAAAGACTGGCGTGTTTTGAAACAGTTCGTTTTGTTTTTCGAGTCACGAGTTTTTGAAACTCAAGTCTAGTGGAAACGGTCAGTTGCGGTCAGTTGTGTATTAATGGACTACCTTAATTCTGAACTCTGAAGACACAATGGGCGAGGCTTCGAAAATCTTTCTAAACATTTCTACACTAAATATAAGATAGAGCTGCAATAAGTATAAATAAACGGTCAACAGTATGAATGTTACGAGGGGCACTCTCAAATCATGATTTTAACTATGTATAAACCTATATTTTCCTGTATTATGAAATACATATGAAAATATGAAGTAGACATCGTAGCATAAGTTGCGGCCGACCGTATGATTTATAGTCATTATATTTATAGTGATTATTGACTCAAGCAAGGCCTCTGGTTGAGTTCAAAATAAACAACTGATTGAATCCTAACATGCAATATAGAAAATGAAAGGGGAGGGGATAACGATTATATTAAGATAGACAAAACAAACAAGATGACTACCAAAACGGCACTACACAGCATCTTCGTTATTAATGAACGTATAGTTACATACGAGATATCATAGGACGCTATGGATGAAAATAGATTTACTATAAGACAAATTTTGATTTATTGAATCAAGGAAGGCCTCTGACTGAGAACAAAATAAACAACTGATTGAATGCTAACATTCAGCATAGAAAATGAAAGGTAAGGGGATAAAGATTATATTACGATAGACAAAACAAACAAGACGACTACCAAAAGGGCACTACACAGCTTGTTTGTTTTTATTGGACATATAGTTACATACGAGATATCATAGGGCTCTATGGATGAAAATAAATTTACTATAAGACAAATTTTCATTTATTGACTTCAAGAAGGCCTCTGGTTGACTAAAAAATAAAGAACTGATCGAAACCTAACATGCGACATAGCAAATGAAAAGGGACGATATAACGAATCTATTAAGATATGTAATTGATTTTCTATTTTAATATATTCGTTATATCCTTCCCTTTCATTTACTATGTCGCATGTGAGGATTCGATCAGTTGTTGATCTTGTACTCAGACGCCTTTTCATCCATAGTGCACTATGATATCTCGTATGAAACTATACAACCATTAATAACGAAGATGCTTCGTATTGTCCTTTTGGGTCGCCCTGTTTGTTTTTTCTATCCTTAAGTAATCGTTATAGCTCCCCTTTCATTTTCTATATCGCGTGATAGGATTTGATAAGTTGTTTATTTTGTACTCAGCCAGAAGCCTTCTTTGTCAATCAATCAAAATTTGGCATACGGTTTTGCTTTCGTATTAAATTATTAAAACAATATGTACAATTACACGTGAATTTTATTGTTTTTCAAATAAAAACTGAAAACATAATAATAAGTTTCTACTTTTGATGCGAACTAACACACAATTTACTTTAAAAAATAAGTGTATTTGATGTTTCGATTTCGATCATTTAAGTGTCAAAACAACGTTGCAATTACTGCTTTATTATTTTTGTCAAACCATAAGTTTCTTTTTATTTTACAGTAGAGAAGCTAATTTTGAATTTCCTTGAAAATAATACTAACATTGTATATTTTATCTTCTTTGTTCATAGTAAACAAATCTTTAATTGTACATACTGTTTTAATAATTTGATAGGAAATATGAAAGCAAAACCGCACGCCTATGGAGTCTTACGTAGCATAGCCTGGTTTTGTTTACTTTTACTGCACGTCGAATTTGAATGAACTATAGATACGCTTAACATTCCTTGTCCTCTATTCCAGAATCTTTCTTGTCCATCTTCCATTCCGCAATCGTGCGACATATGCTGTCCAGCTACAAGTATTGTAATGCATTGGAAAACGTTATGTATCTTTGACAATCTACGTATCTTCTCATTTCTTACTCTGTCTCTAAGTATTACGTCAAGCATTGACCGTTTCATTTTTCTTTAGGTTATTTATAACTGTCTGGTTTACAAGACGAATTCTGTTGATTTAATTTAACAAATATTCACTAGCGTACAATCTTTTGTACAGAATTATCCATGACGCCTATTAGGAAAAAATGGATAACTAAAAGAAGGTTCTAAGATAAATTCAGACCAAGAGAAACTGATTATTTATTCAAAATTTAATAATTATTATTCATCATTTATTTTTATAAACATAATTTTAATATAATATTGATTTTATTCGTCAATATTGTCATTTATTGAATATCAATATTTATAATTGAATTTTAATTTTTTTAATTTTCAGGTATTTTAACATGGCTTTCCGGAGGGTCATCACTCGTTTGGCCCTCTCCTGCCATAGTAAAACTAAAATCAAATGTAACAGGCGAAAATCCCTTGGGCAGACCTATTACAACCCTTGAAATATCCATGTTGCTTGGAACCCCGAGCGCAGTCTCATTACTTGGTTCTGCTTTATTACCAAAACTGGCCGATATATTGGGAAGAAAGCGCTGTATACATCTAATGGGATCAGCAATGTTCCTTAGTATGTTAGCATTAGCATTTAGTGACAATATAAACCAATTCATCATTTTCTATACACTTACTGCAAGTATTTTTGCTGGAATTATGGGTGTTTTACCAATGTACATGACTGAAATATGCGAAGATCATAATAGGGCTAAATATGGTTGTCTTATGACCGTTTGTCTGCCTTTAGGTCAACTATACACATTTTTAATTGGACCTTTATTAAGTATTCAATGGTACACCCTTCTACTAGCAGCACCTTTAATTCCTTTTATGGTACTGTTTTTCTTTGTACCTGAAAGTCCAGTGTTTTTACTAAAAAATGAAAAGGAAAATGAATGCATATTTGCTATAAGAAAACTAAGAAGTAATAAAATTGATGAAGAATTAGAAACAGATTTTCTTCGTATTAAGTCGGGATTAGGCGCAACTGTACAACATGGAAACACATTTACTAAGTTATTTAATACCAAAGAGGGCAGAATTGGTGTATTATTGGCTTTAATTCCAATGTGTACACAATTTTTATCAGGGATACCAGTCATACTACCACTTTTAGCTCCTATATTCAATGAGTCTGGATCAAATATGTCAGGAAATAACATAGCAATATGTGTAGGAGCAACAAAACTAACATGCTACTTTTTAGCCTTTTTAGTAGTCGAGAAAGTTGGAAGAAAACCATTATTGCTTTTATCGTCTATCGGTGTAGGTATTTCCATTTTTGTTCTAGGATCATTTTTTTATCTGAAACATATAGATTACTATTTAATTACTCGGATGCACTGGATACCTCTTATAAGCATATTATCAGTCGTTGTTTTTTATTCATTAGGACTAGGTACAATCCCTCTAGGTATGATCAGTGTTATGTTTACTGTAGAGCTTAGATCTACTGCGACCTCTTTTGTAATCACCACTACGTACTTGCTGGTTGCTTTATACCTTACACTATATCCTTTAGTATCTGAGGCTATTGGAATCTACTGGTGCATGTGGCTATTTGCAACAACTTCTTTTGCTGGTTCTTTTTTAATGTACATGTTTTTACCAGAGACAAAAGGAAAGAGTATAGAAGAAATACAAGATATTATAAAAAAAATGTAATATTATATTTTTGTTATTGTTAAACATTTAAATTTACTTTCATATATTTTTATATTATGTAAAATATTTTTATGGGTACCATTACTTATGAATAAAATAAAAAAAAATTAATGTTTTAATTTGGATTATTATATATCTTCTTTGGCATATTTCAGGGTCTATCATGCTGGAATTAAAACAATTCTATTTTTTTTGTCACTTAATATTTCGTCAACTGATTGGTGGCTTCATCAGAAGTAAACTAAATGTAATAACACAAAAAGATAAGACAAACATTTTTACTACACTTTTTAAAATTAGACTCACAATTTTAAAATAAGTTAAAAACAGGTCGTCAGATAGCTCAGCGGGCTGTGCGGCTGCCTCTCATTCGCTTCACTGTCGAATGGTTTAGTGGATGTGGGTCGAGCCCAAGCTCGGTGTACAGAAAACAAATAGTCTATCGCAGCAGTTTAAAATTCTAGATGAATCTGCGGCTTAGACTAGGATATGCTGGGTTCTGATCGGCCTATGGTGGAGCAGTACGGCAAGAGATAAGGGCTTGCGGCTCGGTGATACTCCTCCATAGATCCCTACCGGACGGGCGTAACGCCTAAAAAACCGGATATATATATATATATATATATATATATATATATATATATATATTTATATATATATATATATATATATATATATAAACAACAAAAAGTGGATACTGCCCTCCTAAGACAAAAATTCCTATCTGCAAAAATTCGGATTTTCAGGATTTTGTCTCACTGGACTCTTAGTTTAAAACTTAACATATTTACTATGTCAAAAGCCGTAACTGACAGGCAATGATTCAAAATTGCCATATTTATTTGGTCCTAACCAACAAAAGTTAATCAAATACCAAGATAAAACCACTTCGCAATCGAATTTTGTACGTCGATGCGCATGATGTCATTTGGTGATAACAGTTTATCTTAATTTAATATTCTGAAATATATTGGCATCTGTCAAATAAACGTCAAAGTGTAAATACGAATTTAATAGTTCTCCGCACTTTAAAGTTTAATTTCAGATAGTTTAACATATAATCTTAAGTTAATTTATACTTTTTAAAGTTCTCCGCGAATCTTTGTGATTTAGGAAGTGCTAAACAGTTAGATTTGATTACCACAGTTTAATACATATACATTAGTACTAGTTTAGTCGTCGAAGGCTCCATTTATGGAGTCTTCTAACGGGGGCGAGCCCCCCGATAAAATGCCAAGGGATCAGGATGCGATGGATGATTGCAGTTATGGTTCCCATGGATTTTTATCCCATCAGCTAGAAAACTCGATAAGTAGTCCTAATAATATTATTAATTTAAAAACCGATAAACAAATTACCTCACTAAATTCTAATGAGACAGAAAAAAGCAGACCTGTATATTTATATGAAAAAACTGATTTAGGGCCATTTCATATTTTTATTGAAAACAGTGATAAAAATTTTACAGGCAAATTAAGTGCAGTTAAGATAGGTGAAATATTATTTACCGTACATCCGGAAATTGATAATTATATTAAAAAAATTGATTCAATTGGACGCAACCGTATTAGAATAACATTTAAAAACTATGCTAGTGCAAATACCTTAATTACTTCTAAATTGCTTATTCAAAAAAATCTAATTGCATATATTCCGAAATTTCAATTATTTAAATTAGGTGTAGTTAGGGATATAGAATCAGATATATCGGAAGAATATCTTAAGGATAAAATAAAAGAATTTGATCATCATTGTAAATTCTCGGTGGATTATGTAAAAAGAATAAAGAGAAAAATAGTAACAGATGATAAAGTAGTTTTTAAACCTACAAAATCGGTAATTGTGTCATTTAAATGTCAAAATATACCAAAATATATCGTAATTAACCATGTTTTACATGATGTAGAAAAATACCAGCAAAAAGTAATTATTTGCTACAACTGTTATAGGTATGGACACATGAGTAAGCAATGTAAAAGCAACCCTAGATGTCTTAAATGTCATGAGTCCCACCCTTCCGATTCTTGTTCTTTATCATCTTTTAATAAAATATGTCTCTCCTGTGAAGGTAAACACTTCACTAACGAATGGGAGTTATGTCCAGAATTTGACCGTCAAAAAAAAATAAAACATTACATGTCTGAAAACAGCTTGTCTTTCAAAGAAACGCTTAAATTATTTCCTAAAGTAACCTATGCATCAATAACAGCTAATAATTCCTCATTAAATTCACATCAAATCCCAAATATGAACGCTCCTTCCTTTTCATATTCCTCTACTCAATTGTCCACTTCCCCCTCACCCCCTAACCAGCACGCCCACCCTACAGTTTCAAACAGATATACAATAACAAAACCTCCAAAATCCAAACGACCCCTCTCTTCATCGCAAGACCCAATAGCAATAGAACATCAAAAAATAATAAAGTTAAACCCCATGTCCAACAGACCTGGTGGCATTTTCAATTCATCTTCTTATCAATCTACATTTAATGCAGAACAAGGATCCAAAATACATGAATCTCCTAAAGAATTAACAGAGTTAATATCAAATATAGTTATAAGTATTATTTCTAATATGAATCACAAAAATTTTGAAATCCCAGAAAAATCAGTTTTAATAAATTTAATTCAAACAGTTTTAAGTTCTCTCTCATATAATAATGAATAGTTTGGTAATTTGTCAATGGAATTGTAGATCAGCTAACTCTAATAGAGAAAATCTCCTTCACCTACTAGAAGACCAGAAAGTTGATATCGCATTATTATCAGAAACTAGATTTAAACCAGAAAATTATATTAACTTTCACGGATATAATATTGTCAGAGACGACCGCTTTTCAGCAACTGTCGGTGGTGGCTCGGCAATTTTAATAAAGTCAAATCTGTATTATGAGGAAGTCACCATGAAAGTCAAATTATTCAACATCAATAAAGTAGCCATTAAAATTAAGTTTAAATCATTCACTGTAACATTTATTTCGATGTATGTTCCCCCAGGAGTAAAATTATCGTTACAACAATGGAACAATTTCATAACATCTATAGAAAGACCATTCATAATAGGAGGCGACTTCAATGCTCATCACATTGCCTGGGGCTTAGACAATCATACAGATATAAAAGGCAAAATCTTAATGGACTGTATAGATGATAATAATTTGATATACAAAAATGATGGCTCTCCTACTTTCTTTAGAAACTTTTCGAAATCGGCAATAGATCTGACGATTTGTACTCCTGACTTAAGTCATCTTATCACTTGGAAAACACTTCAAGACCTATTCGGTTCAGACCATGCTCCTATAAAGATGGAATTAGCGGATCAACCAACTCATATATATAACCCGTATTCAGAAAAGTGGAATTTAAAGAAAGCCGACTGGAAATTATATGAACAATTTTCGGAAGATATCTTCTCTCAATCTGAAGATATAAATTCATATGAAAAATTTTTGCACAATATAAATATAACTGCATCCTACAGCATCCCCAAATTTAAAATAAAAAAACCAACTTCCAGAGGAAAATACTGGTGGGATTTAGAATGTGAGGAAGCAGTCAGAAGAAGACGGGAAAGTTTTTGTATATTCAAAGATAATCCAAACCAAGAAAACCTACTCAAGTATAAAAAAGATGATGCCCACGCGAAGAAGATCACTAAACAAGCTAAAAGAAATAGCTGGAGAGATTATGTCAAGTCCTTAAATAGGTCGGTTCCCATTAAAGATGTATGGTCAAAAGTTAATAGACTAAAAAATAGAAAAACTAAGAACAAAGTCCCTATAATATTGTCGGAAGCTTCATGGATAGACGAATTCCACCAAAATATCACTCCACTGTCTGCAGAATTAGTAATTCCTGATCTACAACTGAATGCGCAATACGATTATCCAGAACAAATCCGCTTCTTAATCAAACCATTTTCTGACACTGAACTTTACTTTTCGTTAAAGAAAAATTCAAATTCAGCACCAGGTGCTGATGAAATCCATTACTCGATGCTATCAAATCTTTCAAAAATTGGCAAGACTGTGCTTCTGAATATATACAATGAAATTTGGTCACGGCGCATAAAGATTCCTGACGATTGGCACGTTTATACTATTCTTCCGATCTTGAAACCCGGAAAATCGTTAAATAATTGGGATTCTTACCGTCCAATAGGGCTGGCGTCATGTATACTTAAAACATATGAAAGACTTATTAAAAACCGTCTGGAATTTTGGTTAGAAAAGAACGACCTATTACCAAAAACTCAGTTTGGTTTTAGAAAAGGTAAATCCACACAAGAAAGCCTGAGTCACTTATTGATAGACATTTATAGTTCATTTACTTGTAAGAAAGCAGTTAGTGCTTTGTTTTTAGATATAAAAGGGGCTTATGACAATGTTAATCTTCACATTCTATATGCGAAAATGTTGGAAATAGGAATACCTGAAACTGTAACATGGAATATCATTAATTTGTATATTAATCGATCAGTACACGTTAGATTAAATGGTGATAAATCTAACACACGGTACACATCTTTAGGACTACCACAAGGTAGCATCTTGAGTCCTCTATTATATATTCTGTATACTGCTGATTTAGAAAATAAACTTCCTCGACACATAAAAATCTTACAGTATGCTGATGATGTTGCAATCTATGTAGAAAATAAGTCAATAGATAAATGTAATGAAAACCTTAAATCAGGATTGAATATTATAAAAAAATGGGCGGCGGATAAGAATTTAACAATCTCGGAGAGTAAATCAACCATTGTTACTTTTACCAGAAAACGTTATTCTCCCCCAAACCACCTACAATTTGATAATTATAAAATTAATTATAAAACTTCAATAAAATTCCTTGGCGTGTTCTTAGACTCAAAATTGAATTGGAAAGAACACACGAATTATATATTAAGAAGAACGGAAAACGCAATGAATATCATCAAGACTGTAAATGTCAGTAACTGGGGAGCTGATCCAAACATCTCAATATTACTATACAGAAATTTAATGAGATCGATCCTAGATTACGGATCTATATTTTATGGCTCAGCATCAAACGCTGTACTCCAAAAAATCGAAAGTATAAAAAATAAGGCACTTAGATTAAGCACTGGTTATCTTCGTAGTACTCCCATATTGGTCATGGAATGTGAGCTTAATGAACCTCCACTTTCATTACGCAGAGAATTCTTAAGTGAAAAATTTATAGTTAAAGTGGCAGTTAACAATAAACTATTGTTAAATAAAATTGTACAATTAACCACTACATACCTAACTCATCATTACTGGGAAAAAAAGAAGCAGCTTTTAGTTGTGGAA